GACCGCGCGGTCCGAATTATCTCGTCAATTGGAAACCCCCCAAGCCAGGGCTTTTGAGTTTCCCTGAGCCAATGCTACACTCCAGCCTGAGACCGACTGATGGTCATAGATATAGGAACGTAGATACTATGGAAGTTAAGGCTTCAGCCTTAGCGTTGACTTAAACCAGCTTTGTAAGCGCATGCTGTTAAGAGCCGCCCTAACCGACACGCGCACCCGCAGACCTAGCGAGCCACCCTCTTGCCACACTATCGATCCACCCACGCGCGGCGCACGTGATGATGCTGCGCAGCCGCATGAGTCACAAGACCAGTCGAGTTGCTACTCGCTTGAGGACACAATCTAATTGGCCTGATCTTGTAACGCCTTGCTCGCTTTAAATATGCTACACTAGGTATGCTTATAGACTTCCACCTTTGCACCCTTGTTGTTGTGTCCTTACTTAGGAATTCAGATAAGCCCTTATTAGTCGATGACATCGTAGACCTTGGCGACATTACAACATATGGGACAACATAAGTCACTCTGGTTGTCACATTTGACTTTAGGCGTGCAGGTAAGTAAGCATTTAAATTCAGTAAGTAAGGCAGCTCCCCAGCTCCTTGCGTATACATACGCTATGCTACATGCGTAATGCGAGTCTGAGGCTATCAATTTTTAACATGGCTGAGAAGGCAGCCAACAGACCCACTTAACAGACACACATGGATAATCACCTGTTAAAGCCCATCACTCACCTAAAATAAATGACTACAAACACTACGGACAACAGTTAAAACATACTACTTGCTTGATTTCAATAGAGTTTTTATTTACACTAAATATGTCCAGATGAATATGTCATACTGGATATATATATCGTAAACATTTTGTTCGCCGCTATCCCGCAAACGCCTCACCTTACAAACCGTTCATGTTTCCAAAATCTTCTTATGCACTTTTGCACAAAAAAGCGATATGTAACAATGTTTGCATAGTTCGCTACTATTTATGCATTCCTGTACCGTTTCAATGGAGTTTTTAAGGGTTTCGGTCATTTACTCCAAATATACTGACTGACATGATAAGCCCAGTGTGTATTGTGTGTTCAGTGGCTGATTCGTGGACTGGGAGTCCGGCGGTGACGGCTCCTGCTAAGCCTTTGATTGTTGAATAGTTCGGAAGGTAAATTGGCGAGCATACATTTGCTTTCGATAAATTTTCGTGAGGCCTGTACATGTACATCATGATTAACCAAATAAATTATGCCACCAATATATTCTGCCCCACAGAAGCATAATTTATTAATTTAATTAAGATATAAATGTACAGGCCTGACGAGAAAACAAACGCATGCTCGCCAATTTATCCTCTGATTGTGGAAATCCTTGTTTGTGTGTCTAGAGCCGGGGTCGGCAACCTATGGCTCGCGTGCCAGGTCTGGCTCTTTTGATGATTGCGTCTGGCTCTCTCAGATAAAATTGGAATTATAAATTTTGTGAGTTTGATTCCTCCAATGACGTGCCACCGCCGAGACGCGTATTAGAATCAATTTAATCTCGGCCAATCTCTGGCGTTTCGGGTCCCCTAGGTTTGACCTAGCAGTGGTTTCAGTGTTTTCTTCCCGGTCAGCCGACAGCTAATTCTTCCCTTTTCTCCTGCGTCCTAACGGCTGCGACAAGCTTGCTTAACAACAGATGCTCTAATAAAGCACGACAGCCCCCAGACTTGGCCTCAGCTTAGTCAAGGTCACGCTGGCAGGTAAGGCTATCCTACGCCAATGGCCAACCTGCCTTGTCACATATAGTCCCTTGTGTTTATGTTCCCCAGATGGACGCATTTATCACACGCAAGCAAACAGTCCATTCGCGGAAATTTGCGTTGTGTGCTAATTAATCGCTCCCAACATCTGAATGCTTTCTTTCATCAAACGGAATACTTTTAGTGGTTATATTAGATCGCACATCTTTGACAGCATTACACACACTTTCTCATTAGCGCAAAGTTAACCCCTGCAACAAAGGAGATGGCGAAAAGAAAATGAGATGAGGAGTATTGTACATTTCAGGACGAATGGGCCGCATGGATCTACGTATGCATGTCATTCTTAAATTCTAAATACATCAAGTCCACCCCACGATCACGTCTAACTGATGAAAGCCTCAACGCTTACAAGTAGCTTAACCTCACCAACTACCGACCAGACCAAATGAAGATTATGTTCTACGTGCTTACCAAAACCGTCAAAATAAGATATTCCTTGTACGCATTTACTTAAATAGTTTTTGGGCATTCTTTATAGTAAACCTGTCTATTTGGGTCATGGTTTTAGCATCACCCAAATATGTCAACTCATTGCCGAGAAGATGGACGACCGAAACAAAAGTCAGATATTAATATGCCAAAGATCAATTAAAAGACTTTCTATGACACGTTACCTCTTTTGATGTAGTGCCTTAATTGGACATTTCGGCGTGAAGTATTCGCGTACTTTACCTTTTTAGTTAACCCAGCTGTGAAAAAAAAAAAACTCACGGCGTCGGCGGCAGTTTTTTCACAATTGGGTCAACTAAATTAAGCAAATCTACCAAAACCCCCTAATAATTTACCATTTCGAAGATTAAGTTAAGATAGAAATGGCCAAGTGTGAACAGATTTTTTACTTCCCTGAGCATTGCGAATAAATCTAGAGCTGAAAATGAAACCACTCGCTTTTTGTGCACACTGGAGCAGATTTCAAAAATATTTCTTTACCCTAAGGCTCCCTTCTAAGATTGCCAAAGCACAGCGAAAGGACAGAATATATACTTTGATTTTGCGAAAGCTGAGGAGCTGTTTTGCGGAAATGTCGATTTCATGGGACTCGGCATGTAACCCTGCGATTTGCTTCAGTGCATTTAGTGTGTACTAGACAGTACCTGTGAAGACAATACTAAAAACGGTATGCAAATATTCAAGCAGCCTAAGGACCCAATACCCGTCAACCAGAAATTCGGTGTTATCTACCGTATCGACTGTCTTTGCGGTCAAGCAACTTATGTTGGTGAAACCGGCAAACGGGTTGCCACGAGACTGCACGAGCATGAA